GAGTATATGGTCCGTTTTTTTAAACATGACTCTAAATATTTTTGGTTTTTTTTTTTATAAGCCAAAAATGCATAGGCCCCTATTAGAAACATAACAATGCTTACTAGTTTAGATCAGCTTCGTTTAAAATGAATTTCACCATAAAATACCGTATTGAAAGCCAAATGAAATTATTTGAGGTGAAATGGTCCTTATCCGTTCAGTTATAATTTTTCGCGTAAAATTGGTTCACATACACATTACACATTATTTAGTTTTTACACATGAAATGGGTTTTTATTTTAGTAGACAGGTATACATTAGTTGGATTAATTGAATTCCAATTCTGTGAATTTACAACTCAAGTGTGTCAACCCACTTTACCTAGTATTATTATCTCCCTGTAAGAAGAACATACCGGTATACAGTATTGAGTTATATATGATTTACCTTGGCTCTTTGTTGATATACTCTATCATACCCCCATGACTGTATTAAGCAGTCTAAATGCATGAATGTTACGATTTGATCACATTATTATTGTATTTGTTCTATTTCATTTTTATATATCTTATATACGTGCAAAGTATTGTATTCTCATTGTATCATTATTAATAGAGCTACCTGGACATTGAATAAAATAAATAAAAATGAAATACCACAATTTTGGGTGAATTTTGTAATTAATTCTGTTATTAGGTGCATAAGCAGAGCATAAAACACTTTAACATGCCTAAATTATTTTGAGAAATCGTTGGAACCATTATCTTTTGGAACATTGGCTAATAATTTTGGCAATATTCTCCAGTCCAATTTCCAATCAATTCTGATTAGTTTGAATTGAATTTATTAATTAATCACGTAATTAAAACAACAGGACAAGAAAGGCAAAAATGCCACAAACGACCCTGATTAATTAATAGGATAAGCCATAAAAAGTGGGTCCCCTTGAAAACGATTTAAATTTGCACAAAGAACAAAAAACACACACAACGTCTAAAAAGAAATAAAATGCAATGAAAAATTGGTCTAAACATGTTTTTAAAATTTTACAAGTGGAGAGGGGTATACCGTCTTACCAAACAATTTGATGCCTGATGTTTACGGGCGCTATTCGTTATCAAAGTCATTCAGCTAACAGTATCTGTGTATTACCCATCTTTTTCATATTTTGTTTTCCCACTCTGGGCATGTATCTACTCTGATTGGCTGAAAATGAAGAGCATCCATACGTCACGGTGCAAAGCCTGGCTGCCAAACATGCGGTAACAAGGACAATCTTCACGCTGCTGTTGTAGCAGTGAAGAAAATTAGGTCAGCGTCGTAGTCTTTGCGGATGAGATTTGAAGTATTAACAAGAATAAAAAACATTCAAAATCGTATATTTTCTGCTTATTTTCACCGTTTTCGTACCAAATACCGGTTCACCTGATTAATTATGATCGGTCGTAAATTTAAAACAAATGAAATATTTATGCATTGTACTATAAGTGCCATAAAATGAGAGTAGTACTTAATTTATCGACAAGCCCAAAGTTTTCGCTTAAGCGAGAATTTAGGTCTGGTACTTAATTTCTCGATGGTACCTGAATTCTCGTGACACCGGCCATATTTTCGGAGGTCATGTTACTTTTAGAATCATAACTCCTTAACGGAGGGTCGTATGGACATATCGTTTTTGTCTTTATAATGTTCCCAAAGGATATATCTATGTACTGTGTGACTATAAAAAAAAAAAAAAAATTTATTTAGTCTGTCAAAAATTAATTGAAAAAATAGCAACACGCACTATACAAAATCGGTCTTCTATTTTCCAGTTAAGTTTTGACACACTAAACAAATTTTCATTTTTTTATTCATACGGTACGTAGATATATCCTTTGCGAACATTTTAAAGAAAAAAATGTTGACACGACCTCCCGTTAAGGATATATGATTTTTTGAGTAACATGACCTCCGAAAATATGGCCTAAACGCTATATTATCTCTGTTGGTTACGCTTCGCTGCTCAGCGTTGTTTGTCATCAATCGAAGATGTCCGTAGCGTGAAAAAGGCCTATTGATGGCTTCGCGTTGTTGTTGACGGAAGTCACGTCATAGTTGTTGCAAATGTTGGTCGGAATGCGAGTTATAATTTGGTAAATCACTTAGAAGTGTTTCAAAACTAAACTTTCAAATACTTATTAATTTGGTTTTGGTAAGGCTCCAATGGATAGTGGGAATAAAGCCTGGAAGTTTTTCAAGGAAAGGTACGGTAGTACCTTCTTCACGACGTGCATATTGCTGCAGTAAGTCGTCCTACCTTTAGGCCTATGTTCTAGGTTTAAGCATAGAGAAAATAGAACATTCTATTTTCTCTTTGGTTTAAGTCTATCGCTTCATGAAAAAAAAAAGCTCTCCATTCGTTGCAATAGTATTATTTTACTTATTTTAAATTCAAGATTAAATCATAGGATGTTTGTAGTTACTGCCGCGGAATTATCATCATATGACATAACAAATATTATTATTATTATTATTATTACGGATACGTTGCCTACTGGCATAATACCATACCATGGCCTATTTTCAAAAAGGCTGTTTCCCTGCTCCGGGCCCTGGTCAAGATAAGTACCTTCACGACATTGCTCCGGTCAGTGGAGTCGTCGCCGGCTGAGGTATAGGCCAATAAACCTAAGTCAAGAATATTATTCATGACAAATGCTATCGCAGTATGTAAAAAACCCCAAAAAACAAAACAAAACAAAACAAAAACAAAACAAAACAAAACAAAAACGAATCTCTCCATTCTTTGCAAGAGTATTATTTTAGTTATTTTAAATCTTAATTAGGGCCTATTATTACGTACTGGATTAGGATGTACCATACCAACCAGGCTATTATCACCAGCCTGTTTCACAAGTTTGGTTGAGCAATCAATAGGCCTACTACAGTTAAGGGTTATTTTCTACTTTATTACCCACAGTACGGTACTCGACGACAGAGATATAATAGTCGAGGCATAACAACTCCTCCCTGCTCCGGGCCGTGTGTCTATAAAACGAAGACCATACACCCAAAAACGAAGACTCTTATTCTTTTTTCTTTTATTTTGATGATAATACACCTGGCTGTCAGAATATCAAAATGACGATTTTTTTGGGCGTCCGTTTGTTAAATTTTCAAAGGCCTCGTTTTATAGATACCTCTACAGTATATGGGTGTTTACAAAACGAAGACCTGAAAACGAAGACCTTCAATTATTTCTCAATTATCTTATTGTTAGTATTTCAAAGTCATCATAAAACTGTTGCCAGCTATTTCATTATTTCATCCGAATAAAATTAATGAATGTCAAGAAATACTTAAGGGTCTTCATTTTATAGACACACTTAAACGAAGACCCAAAAACGAAGACCCATATTTTTTGTCTTTTATTTTGATGGTAATACACCTAACTGTCACAAAATCACAATTACGAGGTTATTTGAACTTTAGTTTGTGAAATAATCAAGAATCTTCGTTTTATAGACACATATATATGGGCGTCTACAAAACGAAGACCCCCATTTTTCTCCCAATCGTGATGACAATAATGTTTTAAAATCAGTTCATGCTATGTATATATATAGTATTCGTCTTTTTAACACATTTCTACCTGAACCTGAGTCAATTTAATGATTTACTTTTTAACTTTCAAAGCGGCAGTCAATCATAAGGATGACATAATTAATGTTGAAATATTGAATCCCAACACGATGGCGTGTATTTCAATACTTGGAGTATGTATTATACTTTCTTACTTGTATCATCATTTTCATCTTTTTTTAAATATAAAGATAATTCCTGCGGTAGGTTCTGACCCCTTGGAAACGGTTCGTTTCTCCCCATCATGGACCACAATTTTTTGTCGCGAAAAAACACATACAGTAAATTAAACCTGCTGGGAGATGACATTTTGCCTAGAAGGGTCATGAAAGCGAAAAACACATACCGTACTCGCGCGAATAAGCGCCCGGGCGCTTAAAATATTTTTAGCACTTTTTGAGGGGCGCTTATTCAAACGGGGCGCTTATCAAAACAGAGTGGAAATTGAGGGGGCGCCTATGGAAATAGATGAAAATCGAGGGGTTATTATGACAACTTACTAAATTCAAGAGGCACATTTTGAATGAAAAATGATTATATAAGGACATCAGGAAACCGCAAATTACGAATGGTGGTGCGGCGGAAAAGATAATCGTCCAGAGAGCATGGCTTATCATGACAAGAATGCTGTGAGTACATTATTACATAACAGCAGAATAGCAAATGAAATTAGTGCTGGTGGTTACTTGTTGGCCATGCCGATTGAGCAGGATTGCATGATCCTTGCAGGTTTTCTTGAAAACTCAGATGGGAATGTGTTGTTAGGTGCAAATTGTCGGAAAAGCAGTAGGACTAGGCTATAGAAAAAAGTAAGAAGATGAAAGTTGGAAATATACCGTCTGCCCAGAGAGCTCTCATCTGTCCAAGATAAATATCCTCATTTTGATATTGACTAAAGGAGAATGTGATTCCACTCCACACCTCAAATCATGCCAACATCCAGTCCAGAATTGATTGAATTAGTTTTATTCAAATTAAAAGGGGCGCTTATTCAAACGGGGCGCTTAAGGAAATTTTCACGTTAGGAGAGGTGGTTATTCGAGAGGGGCGCTTATTCAAACGGGGCGCTTATTCGCGCGAGTACGGTACTGTAAATTAAACCTGCTGGGAGATACCATTTTGCCTAGAAGGGTCATGAATCGCTTCGCCAGCCCTGGGAACTTAAAAAACATACAATATATAATTATATCCTTCGGGTTTTTGTACCGTTTCCCTGCCTTGGTGATTTTGGCCCTACACAGTTTTGTAATGTATTCAAAGTATTTTTTGAGTACAGCAACCGTTCTAGGTCTCTTTTAATTTTGGAGCAACCCTTCTAGACAAAATTGTAGTTCCCACCAGGCTACTGTATTTAGGGAATCCCAGTCATGTATCATTCATTATTCGACTGGCGTGGCTCATAACCAAGTCTTTGTCATACATATATGTTCTTTGGTTTTTAAAATGAAAGAGCTAATACGTGAAACTGCATACAACGTGTCATAGTGCCTACTCGAAATATTTCCAGTTGTGTGTACTTCATTTAAAGTGTTTTGTAAGTACTGTACTTTTGATTTTGGATCAGAATTTTGAGTTAGAATAAACGGCATTAGATAAAATTCCCCAACAATAAAAATAACATTGTTATAGACATTTGTACTACAGTGGTGGCGTCAGGACCTGCCCGACGGAGGGGATAAAGCCCCAACGGGGGAGGGGGGCTAGTAGAGCGAATCGACCAAAGCGTATGCAATGTAACTAATCATTTATTTTCAAATCCTCATTCTTAAAAATAACACAAATAGTTTAATATAATAATAATAATAATAATAATAATAATAATAATAATAATAATAATAATAATAATAATAATAATATTTTATTCAATCTCAAATGGCAGCATTAACGCTGAATTACATGAGAATACATTAAAACTCGGTAATACAAAACCGAAAAACCAAAAAAGCACAAAAAGATTACAAAATTGAGAACATTAAAATGAAGTTGAGACCTATAAAACTAGAAATAAGATAATATTCATTAGATCAAACATTAAAATTCTATTTACATAATAAGATATAAAAAAAAGCACAAGAAGTGACAATTGGATTATGATTTATACAAAATTACACATTGGTAGATATAAAAATATAAACAATTTACATAAAATTGACTAGAAAAATAACTGTTAGATTTCATATTAAACAAGGGAAATAGATGTGTTGAATCATATTGCAACAAAACCCCGCCTAAATTCTACTATGGTCAAACTTTGGAAACCGCAATAACGAAATTGACATTTATTAAATACTAATTGTCATTATTTATTTAATGAAAACAATGTGGTGGCTAAAAGGACATTACATGTAAATATTGTTTTTATTTGTTTATTCCCCGACAAAAATTACTCGTCTTCCCCGACGGGTGGGGGGGGGGGAGGGCTAATATCCCCATCCCCCTCCCCCTCCTTTCGCCACCACTGTTGTATTAAGGAATTATAGACGGTAGCCTAGGTTGCCGTCTAAGTAGATATGTAACATTTACACCTCTACCAAGAGCAAACATGCAATCAATGCCGTAGCGATGATTTTTTAACTGTGTAGGGGAACTTAATTAAGTGTGGACCCAATAAAAGAGCGGACCTACTTTGACGCGTATTTTTGTTGACTATTGTGTAAGCGGTTTTTCAAATAGATATTAATAGTAGTACTGGGGGAGGGGCTTGGATGGGGAACGTCTGTCGGGCCAAGCATCCCCATTGGGACGCCACTCCTTTGATTTAAAAAGTGGTACACTAGTTTTCTTTTCCTAAATCAAAAAATAAATTACCATTGATCGAATTCTTATCTTATCTGGCTAGCTGGACCACACTAAAATCTTATAAACATATGCATCCTCATCTACCGATACTTAAATAATTCTGTTTATAAAAATCTTTATCAGAGTGAAGGCAAGCACTTGGAGTCATAAAAAAATATACGGGTTTAACCACCCTGGGTGTTACATGACATATTCAGACTTGAAAAAAGGTCTTAATTTTAAATATATTTGTTGCAAAAATAGAAGCCCCCATGGCTGGTACTAAGTTAAAAACTATATGATATGGCATTCATTTTCATACCTCAACATTTCTGTACATTTTTATTAGAGAGGATGCAAATACCTGGATAAAATATTCGGGAGCCTGGGAGAGCACCTGTAGGCACCTGAAAAAGCAGCTGACGTTTGCTGTGGAAGCTTCCTCACCAGCTAATTGAAATTTCATTTTATTTTTCTTTGAAGTATCTACTTTATTTTTGAAAATAAAGTACATCAGAAATCGGAATAAGAATCATATTAATTGTCATAGTCAATTGAAAACTGAAAACAATACTCATTTTTGAAGATGCAAAAACATACCCTTTTAGACAACATTGTAGTTCTACCAGGCTATTGTGGAATCCCAATCACATATCATTCGACAGGCATGGCTCATAACCAAGTCTTTGGCATACGTATATTATTTTGGTTTTTAAAATGAATGAGCCAATAAGTGAAACTGCCTACAGTATATCATAGGCCTACTCGAAATATTTTTAGTTGTGTGTTAAAAGTATTTTGTAAGTACTGTACTTTCAATTTTGGAGCAATCTGGACATGACTGACTTCCCAATCACTACAGTAGGCCTATTTTGACTGTCTTGACTCATAACGTGTTCTATTGTTCTCACGGAAATTGTACCGTCCCTGGCGATGTTTACCATACACGCATACTCGGAACAGTTACAGTTATGTACATGTCACTGTATTCAAAGTATTTTGTAAGTACTTTTGATTTCGGATCAGAAATTTTAGTTTTGGAATAAACCGGCGGTAAATAAAATTCCCAACAATAACAATAACATTGTTATAGACAATTGTACCAAAGAATTATAGTTTTATAGACGGTAGCCTAGCGTCTAAATAGATACGTAATATTTACACCTCTCCCACAAGAGCAAACATGCAATCAATCAATCAATCAATCAATAGGCGTATTCGACTAGTCTGTTTTGAGCAGCTCTTTCTACTCAAAATGCACATGTCGTATTCGACTCGTCGCACTAGCTGTACGAACTCCTGACAAGAGCGGCTCGAACTCCTCGCTGTTTTTTAACGAGCACACTCCGAGCTCCTCAGAAAAGGACCAGTTGAATACGCCCAATGTCGTAGGAGGATTTTCAAATTGTGTAGTGGAATTTAAGGGTGGACCCAGTAAAAGGGCGGACCTATTTTTGTTGACTATTGTGTAAGCGGTTTTTGAAGTAGATATTATTAATAGCAGCAACATAGATGTGTATAAGAGACAGGGTCTGTCCTTTGATCTAAAAAGGGGAGTACACTAGTTTTCTTTTCTTAAATTAAAAAATAAATTACCATTTATCGAACTCTTATCTTATTTGGCTATCTGGACCACCCTAAAAACTTATAAACATATGCATCCTCATCTAACGATACTTAAATATTTCTGTTGATAAAAATCTTTATCAGAGTGAAGGCGAGCACCTGGAGACTTTAAAAAATATACGGGTTTATCAACCCTGGATGTTACATGACATTCAGACTTGAAAAAAGTCTTAATTTTAAATATATTTGTTGCAAAAATAGAAGCCCTGTGGCTGGTACTAAGGTAAAAAATATATGATATGGCATCTGTAGATGCCTAAATTAATTTTCATACTACAACATTTCTGTACATTTTTATTAGAGAGGATGCAAATACCCGGATAAAATATATTCGGGAGCCTGGGAGAGCACCTGTAGGCACCTGAAAAAGCAGCTGACGTTTGCTGTGGAAGCTTCCTCACCAGCTAATTGAAATTTAATTTAATTTTTCTTGGAAGTATCTACTGTATTTTTTGAAAATAAAGTACATCAGAAATCGGAATAAGAATCATTTATTGTCATAGTCAATTGAAAACTGAAAACGATACTCGTTTTCGAAGATGCGAAAACATACATTACATACATTAATATATAAAATGAAAATATACTTATACAAACTAGCACCAGACAATTTTCACAAATCATATACAATAGAGATATAAATATAACAAGTACAACATATTGGAAGCAAGACCAATACTCTACTACAGTATGATTACTAATCATAAACAAAAAGTATTTGAATGGAATTGTTTTCTTGACAAATAACTGATTGTATAATAGCTGATGAAAGAGATAAATGCGGTTATAATAAATAATATATCAGTGAAGTGAAATTATGTAGACTTAGTATATTTAGAAGAATAAATTCTCTTTTTGAAGCAATACGATCATTGAGTTGACCGACAAGAATATTACCCAACTACGGTACAGTAAATACACAGGGGCATCAAACATGCCAGGACAAGTAAAAATTCAAACTGGGATCAGCCTCTGGAAGCACAATATATCAGAGTTAATCCTTGAACTTGTTGCAACATGTGGCAATGAAGACGAGGTGGAGAAAGTCAGAAACTGGTTAGAGAATCCTGATACGATTCCTACAAAAGCCTATACAATTGCAATGACCACGGTAACCTTGGTTGACTTTGTAATTAGTGACGACGACCAATCAACTTGCAAGTAAGAAAACTTCTATATATCATATAGGCCTATAAGATTCCTATGTTATGTAGAGCATGGAGGTATAAAAATAGATACCTCCATGTGTAGAGTAATGTCATGTAGAGTAGAGCATCGCATTGCGATCGGTTGTAGCAATTGCGACACTCAATCGCACCCAATCGCAAAGTCAAATTCGTGAGTGAAAGTTTACCAATAGTAGTCGATAAGTAATCGACATCGCAATTGTTACCAGTTGCGATTGAGTGCTACAATCTTTATTACTCCCGAATACCACGGAATCCAATCACAACGAATTCCACAATTTAATTTTTAGATATTAAATACTGTAGTTCTAAATACAAAAAAAAATAAAACAAGAACGGGATTCTAATAATGTATCAAAACTGAAAACCATGTTAAACTATTGGAGACTGATAGACCGACAGATGGATAGATAGATTGACCGACCGACAATGCTGAGATAGATGCGAATATTTGATGCAGAAAATGAAGTTTATTTATTTATTTATTTTCAATCTTTCGACAATAAACAGAAAAGTTGGACAGCCGAGGAAAAGCAAAAGTTAGAAGTTGGTGATGTACTGTACTCTATGTTTGAATATATTTAGAAATCGAGGGGGCTTATTCAATAGGGGCGCTTAAGACAATTTTCACATTAGAGGGGTGCTTATTCAAGAGGGGGGGGGGGCTTGTTCAAATGGGTACGGTAGGCCTAGCCACCGGAGGCGCACGCCCTGGAATGTAAAGTGTTTTTTGTTGGTCTGAATGCGCTCGTTGAATGCGATCGAGAGTCATCAGTTTTGGATTACCACCAATTACATAGTGTAACATAATGTAGTCTGAATAGAATTTCAGTCTTCAAACTTCTGACTAAAGTGTGTAAACCTTTCCAAAAACCGAAAGGTCCACTGAATAATCTCAGATAAGATAGTATAATACATGCTCCAAATATCGAAATGCACGCCATCGTGGATGATGACATAATTAATGTCGAAATATTGAATCCCGACACGATGGCGTGCATTTCGATACTTGGAGTATGTATATATCTTTTTTGGAGTCTTATTTCAGATGTTTTGTAACATTTCAATTTATAGGATGTGTTTTGGTAAATTTAAAAAGTGCATTCCGTTTCTGCCCATTATTAAAATGTTAATCATCCGAGAAATGGACGAGTCTGAGAAAGAGAGGATTGCAGGACGTTACATAAGAGAGCTTTTGAAGGATGCAACATATAAGGATGATCTGGAAGAAGTTTACAACAAGTGGGAAAAAGCAAGGATAGATACAATACAGAGATTGAGAGATATTGCAGATGAGATGGCCAATGACAGAAGAAATACTAACATTGCCAAAGTAGTCGGTTCTTCAGTGTCCATCGCAGGAGCTGCAGTGGCTGTAGGAGTAACGGTGGTAGCAGCATTAATCCCTGGTGGCCTTTTTTTTGAAGGAGCTATTGCATTAGCTGGATCTGCTTTCGGTTTAGTAGGAGGAGCAACAAATATTGGGGCATCAGTTGTTGTAGATGAATTGATGAAAAGAGCCGAAGCAAAATCTGAAGAATCTTTAAAAAATCAAGCGAGGACCACTGACGATTTAATAAATCTGCTGGATGAATACAAGGAAAAAACAAAGATCCATTTGGAGACAGCTAAAATGTTCGGCGACGTCTTAATGCGTTTTAAACAGCTACACAAGGACAGAGTGGAATTAACTATTGGTAAGCTTCCAATAACAACTTCTGTCTAACATACAAATAATAATAGAGTATTGTATGTCTGGAAAGGGAATTAATATGAAAATAGCTTGTTCCCCTTTCTACATAGTTTATTTCATATTGTCTTAATAATTGTATAGGCTTATCACATAACCTTTCATTATCATCCATAACACTATAGGCCTACTATTATTTACTTCTTATCAGTAATAGGAGATTCTGTCGAAGAAGTGCTCGGGTACGCCAAGTCATTTGTAAAAGGTAAAACGTAATTCCAAAATATTAATATTTTGACAATACTATATCCCATCATCAGTGTATTTGTATTTACATTTGTTTCCTATATACTGTATTGTAATAGTGTTTTATTAATGTGGTGATTGTGTACAGTGGTGTCACGGAGTTTGTGGCGCTCACTAATATTGGGGGCCTCTAATAAGTGAGTGAGGTGAGCGTTAAGTTTGCGAGCGGAGTGAGCAAACAGACTGTGTGGAGGTATGGAGATATAATATGGTGTACAGTCGATGTCAGAGACACATTATGCTGTTAAGTACAGTATAAACAAAGCCCTTTCGGGTGAGGGTGCTGGATTTTGGACCATGGGGTTTCGGGACCCCTAGGGGCTGGGGGGCGGGGAAGACTGTAAGTAATTTTGACGCGAGTAATTTTGACAGGCAAGTAGACCAGTTCTTTAGTATAAGCCATAGCCTTTGGCGATTGTGGTAGAACTATTTTTCACAAGTGGTATAAGGTCTTTTATTTTGTGTCTAGTAATAGCTAGATCCAGACTACTGAAATTGCCTCTTTCCCTGTTACTAATGTTGATGAGATGCTAAAAAAGAAATAATAATTATTATTTTTTTTTTTTCAAAAAAAGTAACAAAGTTGATTAAGGAAGAGAAAAAAAACGTCGAAAAATATGCGTCTAGAGGAAAGGAATTAATCAGAATTGGTGCCACAATGGGAACAAAAACAGGTAAGATGTCCAAAAGGGGTGCCGAAAGTTGGGCCGATCGAAACAACACTATTCTTTCTTTTTTCCCCTCCCAAAGTGTGGGGGGTATGGAGTGGCGGGGCCGGGCCGGGCGACCCCCTAAATCCACCCTTGTTATATATGTATATGTATATATATGTATATATATATACTATGTATATATGTATGCGTATATAATATATATGTATATAATATATATATGTATATAATATTATATATAGAATATTGTTCTCTGGTAATACTGTCTCTTATACACATCTAGATGTGTATAAGAGACAGATATAATATGTATATAATATAGGCCCTACGTATTCAACTTAAAAAAAACATGTGAACTTATCAATAATTTTAGGAAGAAAAATAGGTCAGACCATGAACCACTTAATATTGATGGTGAACAGATTAAAGTAGTTCCCGAGTACAAATATTTAGGCAGTGATTGATGAAAATTTTGAGAGGTGCAGTAATAAGGCTGTCGGGGGTGGGGGGTGTAAGGCAGCTCTCTTAGAAAACTACAAATCATCGGGGTGAAAAAAAAATTATATGTGTAGCAGACTGTAAAATCGAATAAATAAGCCTTTGAAATCCCTAAATTGTAAAACTTTTCGGGGGCTTCACCACCCCTTGACTACTTTCGGAATATTTTTGAGCGGCGTCCGACCACACCCCCTTTCTTCTCGTCAGAGACTTCGGCCACTCCCCCGTCGGGGAACTTCTGGTGCCACCACTATTCTAAATGTTTTTAAACGACGAAATAAATGATATGGTATCAGTGGCGGATCCAGGAAATTTTAATAGAGGGGGTTCACCTCTAAATGCCTGGAAATGTAACTCACAGACTTAAAACTTAAAAATTTAGGGACCCCTTTAATTCGCCACTGGATATAATATGGTGTACAGTTGATGTCAGAGACACATTAGGCATTTTTCGTTTTGACTACGCGGCCAGTCTACTACGAACTAATAGAACGTAACGGACATCTGCGCATGCTCACAACCCTTACTGGCTAAATCGGCGTTGTGACAGCTTCCGCGACAACCCCAATTTCTGAATTTGGCGTGGTGGCAACTACCCTAATATTGACCAATCAGATCACCGGATTGTTTGGCAAACTGCTGGTGACTTTTTTGTTGGGGGTTGCAATTTTCATCGCATCCGCGATCGCGAGCATTGTTCGTTTAATAATGAATTAATTATTAAAACAAGTGAGTAATTAAATGTTTTATGAAGGCCTATTTATACACATGCAATAAATGAGGAATGAATAGTCACCATAAAATTAGGTAAATCAGGGGATCTATTAAAAAAGGGCCTTAGGCTTAGGCTAGCCTAGCCTTGTCAGGGTGATTTTGGGTAAGAGAAAACACATTATCCGCCGCTAGCTAGGGCATCCGCCGTTGATATCGTGGATCAAGGCTTGCTATATAAATATATACCTCTGTTTAAAATTGTTATTTATTTGTACATCATCGTTGCATTGGCAAATTGCCTGAGCAGGCCTGACACCCCTCTTCTCCCGGTTAACGACTCTTTTGACACCTAGGCTAGGCTAGGCCTAGCCAGGTAGATCCTAGCCAACAGTGAAACATCACTCAGTGTTTTCTGGAAACTTTTTATTTTGTATACAGTATTTTTGACTAAAGTTTTTTTTTCACATTTCCTTTTTCAAATATAAAACAAAGGAACATTGTTCTCTGGTAATAAAACCATGTTCGACTAACTCCCCTCCGTAGGCCTATGTACGTGTGCTGCGTCGTCGTAGTTGCCTTAAAAAAACGAAAACAGCTCTTGGTGTAGTACACGAACAGTGTCTTGGCGTTGCCGTCACGGTCCATTAGTTCGTAGTAGACTGGCCGCGTAGTCAAAACGAAAAATGCCTATGTTGTTAAGTACAGTATAAACCAAGCCCTTTCGGGTGAGGGTGCTGGATTTTGGACCATGGGGTTTCGGGACCCCTAGGGGCTGGGGGTCCTGCGGACCGCCGCAGTAGGACAAATAGGCATTACACAACTGCTTGAAAGAAGAGGAATCTGCGAGTGTGAACAAGTTGCCACTTTTGCTGTCTGTGCAGAGACGCCTTAAATAGGAGTATCATTGAGGGTTTGCTGGGAATTTAAATCCAATTTAGCAACTAATTCCTCACACTCAATTGCGTAGTTGGACAGCATTTTAGCATTATATATATATATATATATATATATATATATATAATTAATTTGAAGATGTTGTGGCATATATCTGATACCGTTTGACTCGTTATTTACTATATACCTGTCTCTTATACACATCTAGATGTGTATAAGAGACAGTTTGTACATTAAACATGCAAGGGCGTAATCTCTACGTTCATCAAAAAGTTTCCAATTATTTTGCTTAATAAGATCAATTCCACGAAAATTTATAAAATAAAAATTATTTTTAACTATTCTAGCAGATCGTTTTTGTAGCCTTAATAGAATGTTTTTGTTTTTGTTAGACGTAGTTCCCCACACTGAGATTGCATAGTCCATACAGGGTTGTATTGTACTTCTATAAAGAATATTTAGAAGAGATTCATTTAGTGTTTCTGCCAATTTATTTAGGATGTTAATTTTGTACCCAATAGTTTTATTTAATTTTCGAATATGGTCATTCCAGGTAAGGTTTTCATTAATTTGAAGTCCTAATAACGGATGTTTTTACCTCATCAATTGTTTCATTACCAATCATGGTCATTCAAAGTTTCCATCCATTCATCTCTAACTCGATGAAGGCAAGTGATGGTGGAGTGATATTTTCTGAAGGCATATTGGTCTACACTTATGAGATCATTTTCGCTTAGATAAATTAACCAATTGATTTTGTATTTCTCTTTCAACAATTTTTTTAATATGGCACACCATGGAGATGGGTCTATAGTTAGTCATTGTCTGCTTACATCCACTGCCTTTAATAGATAGGTGTTGTTTTTGCGAGTTTCCAATCCTTAGGAACAATAATATATGTATATATATATATATGTATATATATATATGTATATATATATATATATGTATAAGTTTTATGAAATTTGGTCTTCATGAAAAAATTCTCTAATTATACGATCATCAATCGCAAGCCGACAGGCAATCACCATTATTTGGATTTCCGTAGTTTTCATGAGCCCTAAGCGCTCTATGTATTTAGCCAATGCCTCCGCATTAAATGTATTTCTATTAGCCATTTAGATTGTCATAAGCAAGTGTCTAAATGACATCGCATTTTTTAAATTGCTATTATCCTATATCTTTAATTAAATCGTAGTTAAGCCATCATTAAGGTCACGCAGTGATTTGCAGTGCTATTTCTAGGATACTGTTTCTTTTAGATGGCCCTAAAATTCAATCTCTAGCTCATACACTTAAGAACAATTATAATGCTCTAAAACAGGATTCCAAAATTGAACCCCTTTTTTTGCAATCCACCCATCGTTGCTAGACGACAGCCACCTAATTTTGATTTCATCTAAATTACCTTCACCCACCCACGAGTATGTCAACACACCATGTTTGAAACCTAAATGCCAACTTCGCACCGTTATCACCACTACAGACAGTTTATTCATTGTACTTGGGACCGATTGCAATATACGTACTCCCAGATTAGATTCTGACCACTCCAATGTGATTTATATGATTTATTGCAATAAATGTAACATGCGTAATTATATTGGAGAGACTGGCACTAAACTAAGATACAGACTCAATTAGAGATAAAAATAAGGGATTTCCAGTAAGTGACCATTTTAATTCATCCAGGTATTCACTTTCAAAGTTTCGTTTCATTATCATAGGCAGTGACTACAAATCAACTAAGGAGACTTTGCACAGAGTAGTTACGACGGATCCTCCGTATAAGCCACACATTAAGGGACTTAACAGAGATCTTGGCTTTGCTAGTGGCTACACTTTCACGAACAACTAATTACACCCCGCATTGTCCAATTGTTATTTCATAGCAGTGATGGCGCCAGGACTGCCCGACGAAGGGGCTAAAGGCCCCGACGGGGAGGTGGGATAGTGGAGCGAATCGAGTTGAATTATGGCGAATATATAGTTAGGCCTAAGTTGTCCTGGATATTAAGTACATCCCTGATAAAAAAATCATGGGAAATGTGTTTAATTTCATTTTGACTATGTAATGGTGATGTAATGATTATGAATTTTACTATAGTGTCATTTCCGGCCATCTAGACGTAATTTCCTTAAATTTTCTTTGTCATCTATGGTATATCACACACAAATTAATAAGATCGCTGTCTGATTAGAGGGAGAAATGTATTTGCTTTTACATTTATCCACTTTTCTTTACAGTACTATGATGGGGTTGAAGCTGGACTAGTTCTACAGTTATTTCATCAAGGACGACAAATTCGAATGTTTAGGACAGAAAGCAAAGTTGCAACTGAAAAGTAAGTCTATATTTTACTTAAATGTTAATGTAAACCTCAAATAGAAGCCTCTTTAGGAGCCTTGGATGGGCTTCTTTTTGATAGGTGCCTCTTTTTGAGATGGACTTCTTTTCAAATTAAATGCTGTATATTTTGAAATTGCTACTACACAACATTATTCAACTATGAAATTTGAAATTCTGCTTAATATTTTTAAAATTTTAACCATGAGAGTACAATAAAATAATATTGATACTGACGTTACTGATTTAGTTCTTAGGGTTTCTATTCAAGGTTTAATGGTATTTTAGTCTTTTAGTTCCAATTACTTAATGTACCGTAAAAGGCACAACACTGAAATAAAATGCTTTTTTGTCAAAAAAAATTTGATAATTTAGCCAGGGCTTTGTACATACAATATTAATTATTTTCACAAGTTATAGCAGATTGATTTCCTTTGGTTACAGATGGAGAAATGCCATGCATAGCGCCACCATACTGTAAATAATGGACTTTAAGGAGAATGTACGGATAAAATAAGATGCTCAACAGACTTCCCATTTACAACTACTTGCTGTAAATATCTTTACGAAACTAATGATCTTTCTACCAAAAGTGGTGCCTTAAAATAGTAATTTTGATATAAATACAATAATTTTTATTAAATTTTCTATAAACATTTATATATTTCTAAATATATCTTAGCCATAGGCTGTTCTATTACAGAATGTGTAAAAATACTAGAATTGTGTATAAATAATAATCGGTTTATTGAAAATATTTTCCAGATTTAAATGAATATTAAAATTTAAGTATGGATGATAGAAACTAGCAATTTACAGTAAATTGCTATATTACATAAATATTACATAATTAAATATATTATAATTTCATAATTCTATTGGTGTGGAAGCACTCAAGTAATGTTTACAGTTAATTTGTTTATTTTAAATTTTTTCAGATTTCGTTGAGTACAGTAAAACTTGAAAGAATACTTATTTTTCTATATAAAGGAAATACAAATAATATTTTAGAAGATATACCGTACTTTACTGTATTTTAATTATGTTTATACTAAATAATAGTTAAATTTTAAATCAGGTTTTTAAATTTACTTGAATAAAGCCAAGTTAACATTGTACTCTTTAGTAGTTTTATTATGATCTCCTTTGAAACTTACCTCTCGAGCATAAAAGAAAAATAATGGACTCGTCCTAGCTCACCTATATACGCCCTGCGTGAATGAACAATATCCTTTTTGACTTCGAGACTATAACAGATTTCGGCGAGGAAGGAGAGAGGGCGTTTATCCAGATAAGTATCTCACTCATAGACTAACATCACTACTGATTTGTTTAGTCTATTTCGTGAATATTTACCTGGATAAACCAATAAATGCCAGATAAGCACCGGCAACCGGTGGAGGGCGACATCAATCACAAAAAAGGTACATACGTGACGGCTGAAGAACTGCCTCAGCAACTGAAGCCTGGGAGGCAAGAACTCCAAGGAGAAGGAGGAAAAGGTCGTGTCTGAACGCCACCATGCCGCTTGGAGAATGTCCGGTATTGGAACCCCACAGAACATAAGTCACCTGCTGTCTGAAGCCACACAACCCTCTTAAAAGGCCACTAGTATTTAATGATTGTTTCTAATATACAATAATTTAAATTCAGACACAAATTTTATTAATCTACATATGCATGTCAAGGTGCTTTTATCTGGTCATAACATCAACATCTTTTTCTATCAGTACTCAACTCACAATTCTTAAGGCAGTGTGATGCAGTGGATACAGGATCCAAGGCAGGCAGTTTATGATTTACTAACAGGATTTAAATAT